GCCATAATTGCTGAAGGAATTGCCTTGTTGCCTGGAGAGGAGGAGGCTTCTTGTGGCTTCAGCTGAGCGGCGCAGTCCAGGAAGAACCGCAGGGATCAGGCTGAGAGCTTCTGTTCACTCGCTGATTCCCCAGCAGTCCACAACAATGAGAAACCAAACATTGGAAAGGTTCATGACAGAGCAAGTTTTAGTGTTCAGTTCCTTATCCAAACTGAAGTCAGACACCAGCCTAGCCAGTGTCAACTTTTAGAAACAAATAATTTTTTACCTATGAAACCTCATACATTAAGAATACACCACTCTACCCACCTTTCTGGGACTACAATACATAAAAATGATTATGACCAACTATGATGGACAGTTATTGGAATTTCTTTTTGTTTTAATAGGATAAAAGCTGACACTGTCAAGTTAGTCACTTGGACATCCTTACCAGTGTCAGGGTTGGAATATCTTTTCCTTGCTCATGATGCCAGGGAGGTTTCCTCACAAATTCCAGTTCTTTTTGTTTCCTTACCTGCTATGCAGTGGATATAGTGCCTAATGTGAATTCTGTGTTTGGAGAGAACATTGGTAAATGTCATTTGTTTCCAGACACCACCATTAGTCTTCCTATTATATTTTCTTCATTTTTATTTTGGAGAAAGGATGACTAGGACACAGAATCTCAATGCACCTGGTGCAAAATGTGACATCAGTGGGACAGGCCACTAACAGCCTTTGTATTGCCCCCTGCTGCTGAGAGTAACCTTCATGCTGACAGCTGATAACTGTTCAGCTTTTGAACTTTGCACCCTCTGAACAGCTAAATTATTTTTGTGGGTATATCTTGTCTCATAGGTTTAAAAAAAAGTTAAAAAAAAAACCAAAAAACAAAAAACAACCAACGTGCATATAGTATCATACTCAGAAAAATCACCAGCAGGCTGGAACTTGTAGTTCCACTTCACTTTGACCAGAAGTTAGGATCTATAGGAGAAGCAAATCATCATATGGTGATGGGTGCAACCAATACTGCTGTTGACAGCAGAGGAATAGGGAGGCTCATGAATTTTATGTTCCCTCTTAGGGTTGGGAGGGATTGCCATATAGTGTCATGGGCTCTACTCTTTTCTTTAAATGTGATTTCTTATCCTATCCTTTCTGATTCGTCCCTGTCTACTTCTCTGTCTTCACTGCAACTGTTCCTTTTTTTCCCTCCACTCCTACTGAAGATCCATTCTGTAGGGTTCTTATTTTACTGTACAAGCATCTGCCCAGACAGCCTGTACTTCATTTGTTTTAGATTTTTAGATTTGCAAAATTCCCCCAGTGCAACTGTAGATTACTCTAAAGGGAGTTTAAGCCTGCTAACAACATAGTGTTTCCTAGCTACACATGATAGATCTGTCACAGCAGGTATCAAGCCTGGCAGGGTGTGTATACAAAACACTTACATCATTTTCTTGTGAACAAGTGAAGTTCTTGGAGACGCCACATTTCTCAGCGTTCAAATAACCTACCTTTGAATCCTGCCATAGCAGACAAGAAGGGGGAGCTCACTAGCTTTGGCTGCTGAAATATATCCCTCTGTATCCCCTTTTTTAAGGTAAGTAGCAAATGCCTGGCTCCTTCCTCAAAGGACTGGAGCCAAATGCCTAACGAGGGGAAGCAGAACGTTTGTGTTGCGCAGCCATGTGGGTTTGGGGGAGAATAGGTGCAAGCTGTGGCTGTCTTATTCTACCTTTCTGAAATAAACGTTTTTCTGATCTACTTGAACATCAGGCAGTTTTCTACTGATGGTTTTGTTTTGTTTTCTGTAATTGTGTTTGGTACTTTAAGAACTTTCTCTCAATCTAGAGGATGAAGATTTAGATGAAAGACAAGGTCAGGCCACTTTGGCAAACGCTTCTCGTGGTGAATGGAATTTGGTTTTTAGTGTAATAGTCGTACATCTGTTCCTGTTTGAGACTTTCAGATTTAATAGTGAGAGAGTAGACAGTACATCTAAGCTATTTTAGCTGGCAGAAATATTGTGATTTTGTAGAGGTTTTGTACTGCATGTATCCTAACAGTATTTATATATATGTCTATTTATATATACATATATATATATATATGTATGTTTTACAGTTTCTGAAGTCACAAGATACTTTACATTCAGCCTGCACTTAAAAAAAAAAGAGTCTCTTGGACAAAAAAGAAGAGAAGAAAATCAATCACAGGATTTACTACGTCAGTATGACACATTTGTTCAGGGTGTCTTTTACTGCACATCCTTAACATGGATTTTGGAAAGCAGTGCATGGAATCAGATACTTCTAAGGAGGAAGACCGTTTGTCACAGCAGACTGCCAGTGACCTGGTAAGCGTGTTGCCACCTTGCAATATAGATATTGAGAGGGTCATGCATTCTCTAATACCCAGGTTGGGTTGATAACACAAGTGAGTCCTCCAGTGAGCAGCGTCTGCTTTTATACAGTTCAGAAGCCAGCGGTATGGTGGACAACAGTAATGTCTCAACAGATAGGCTGGGCCACAACCAAGCTTTTCAGCATGCAAAGCCATTATATTATTTGGCCAGCTCTGATTTTTTTTTTTTTTCCCTCAAAAGTTGTCTTCCAGTGTAACCCAGGATGGAGTCTGTGATACAAGTGTCAACTTGGAAATGTTCACTCCTTCTCTGCTCCCTGCCTCAGAGCCTGGGATGAACCACTGTGCTCCCACCTACAAAAGCCCAGAACAGGTTAGTCTGCTTGGAAAAAAAAATCACTGAATTTATACCTGCATATTGTATATTTCTGATAATTGCACAACCTCTTCAGGAAGAAGGGCTGGTAACTTTTGTGCCTGTCTATAGGTAGGAAGCTTTACTGGCAAGCCTGGGAACTGCATTACAACTTGGTGTCTGATGCTTTTGCTCTAATGCATTCATGCCATACAGTGCTTTTCCCAAGAGACAATTGAGCAATTTTTCTCTTACTCCTCTTTTTTTGATAATTATCTCTGTCTTCCTCCCTCTGGCAAAAAAGATGGCATGTGCTGGCTCAGCATTCTCATGTGTGTAAAGATTATGGGGTATGTTCATATTCTGATTTCTATATGTCTTTCTATCAGTCCTCTTCTCATGCTCCATCTCCTTTTTATATCTTTTTTCTATTTCTGACCTTCTCCTCTTCTTAGTTTTGATGAAGTAGTGGACAGAAGCAGCTCTACAACATCTCTTCCAGTGAATGCTGTGTGTGCTTCTTGTAAGATAGTGAACAATACAGTGCCTTAGTTGCATATTTTAGAGAAACTCATGTTTCCAACATGGTTAAATTTATTTAGGATGTGTCTGTGCTGGCATTTCTCAGCACTTTCTTCACTGGAAGTCTATAATCATTTTAACACTTTTTGGTGATGTTGAAATCAGAAGTGCCTGTGTTAACAAGGTTGCACCATCTGCCTCTTGCCCTAAGCCCACGTCACGTCAGGGCTTCATTTCTTGACGCTGTTGGTACCACCTCTGCACAACAGATAAGAGCTAGGAAAATTGTTTCTTCAGTCATATGTCAGGAGATTTGCAGCTGGGCTGTGCCATTGCAGTGGCTCTTTGACCATCTGACTTTCCTGTGGCTGAAAACTGCTAGGTGGGGCATTGAGGCTGCCCTAGAATCCAGTTCCCCACTGCCCTTCTCAAGGGGCTACAGTCAGGAGTCCTCACCACCTTCAGCTCTCCATCAATGAAGTTTTTAGTACTTTACATACAGGGACAGGAAACTTCTAATTTCTTGGTTGTTGAGACATTAATAATGTAGGTAAGACTGCAGCTGTAGATAACTTCATGTGAGTCACAGAAGTCTGTTACTTCTTTTCTTGGATGACAAACCAGATCATAGAGTTTAATGACCAGAATGTACCCTTTGATATCCTAAAATGTCAACAGCTGTTCATAAAATCTGATACTGGGTCTTAGGCCTTCTTTGTTCTTTGGTGGCTTCTGGCATCTGACTGTGAATTGTTTGAAATATTATCAAAGATTCTGATATAAAAAATAAAAGTGAACTTGGGATTTGCTTTGTTACATGGTGCTTCTCTGGTGATAGCAGCTGGGGAGCTTCAGGCCCAGCAACAATGTGAATGTGTCTTTACACTCTAAGTTTTAGCTCTGGAACAGATCTGGTACTTCACAATAACTTTAAAAAAAAAAAAAAAAAAAAACCAAAAAAGAGAAAAGAAACCTATCTCTTTCACTACTGATCTTTGGTAGTTTTTCCCAGTGGAAATGACAGAAGAGACAGATGAGTGGGAGAAGGAGTCATATATGACAAACTGGGAAACTCAGAAGACCAAGGTAATTTGGATAGGTGTGTACCTGCAAGGAGGCAAGGGGGGTGCCTGGCCTGCAGAAGGACTGAGGAACTCATGGCAGCAGTTTGGTCAGAGATAGTCAGTCCTTTCTCCATGCTAGTGAAGTTTTCTGTGGAGGCAAAGACTGGACTTATTCTTCTATCCCTGTCCCTTATTTCATACCATGCTCGTGTTTCCTCCTAATTGCGTCTGTGCTGTGTGGATATTGACTTTTGAAAGCTGCTTTTCATCAACAATACTGACATTTCCATTTATCAGATTATTAAATGTTGGACCCTGGCACATTTTGCAGTTTTACAGTGAAGGCTAACCTGAGGGTATTATTTGCTCTGATGCTGTTCTAACAACTTACAGTGCAACTCCTTTTTGTGCTTTAGTCTCTGTGGGAAGGAAATCCCAGCACACAGACCAGAAGAAAATGCTGGCTGCTGTGAGGCTGAGCAGCAAAATCTAGCAGGCACATGCAGCCTGCATAGTGTCAGTGTACCCTCTGAGTTGTAAAACGGCAAAAGAGTTTTAAATAGTTTTAAATAAAAACATCTATGTTCTTTATTAGAAATACTGCTACTTTAAGTAATACCTACCCCCAAAGTCCATATGGTGACTCTTTCTGATTAAAAACCACTCAGAAATGTAATTTGATACTATATCTTCATCATATTTTTCAGACGTCAGGGCAGCAGGACGAGGGGATGAGACAGCAGATGGAGCAGCTGAAAAAGCTGGTGGCTGAACAGCAGAAAATCATTTCACTTTACAACTCAGGTACTTGGGGAATCCCTCCTGATGCTGCAGCACCCTCACCTGCCACTGCTTGCACTCCAGAAGTGAAATGTGGCAGTGCCTTAAGGAAAGAGGAAGTTTGATAGCTGCTTTTAGTGGCTGGGGGTTATTCCTTTGGCAGCTAGGCTAAAACATGAAGTTATTTCATACAATACACGCAAGCTGGAAGCCCCAGAAAATACTACTTTCCACTTTTGTATATTAAAATTCCAGAGCTTAAAGGAAAACTTTCCCTTCTTTTGCATTGAGGAGTGCTTGAGAGATACTTTGCAATACTTAACTTTTATCTGCTAAGAGACCTATGGAGTGCTAGGGGAAATGGGTGGTTTATGTGCTCAGGACTACTTTGTAGATTCTCTTTAATTCAGCATCCCTGTAGCATATGGTTATTTTGGTTATGACTGATGGTTGCAGCAAGCATGTTTTACAAGTTAAATAAAATAACGAGATCTGATTATTTCACTCTGAACATGCAAAACACCAGGCAACACGACAGCAACATTGTTCTTGTGCAATGCCAGCTTAGCAAGAGATTTCTAGTTCAGTGCAAAAGATATTTGTCTTGAGCTTCTCTAACTTTACTTGTCTGGTAATTATTTTTAGGTTTTTCTGGTTCTCCTGGGATACCTTCCCACCTAGTAGCCATGATGCCACCCCTTCCGTGCTTTCCAGCTACGTTCATGCCTGGCCAGTTCCCAGCAGAAAATTCTTCCCAAGTTAAGAGTGCAGAATGCTTACAAACTTCTCCCTTGGCAACGTGCTCAACTTGGCAAAGCAGATCCCCACTGTTCATGCCAAACGAGAGCAGTTCAGAAATCTCAGGAGAGCACGTGCAGCTTTCAGACTCAGGTGGGTAAAAAAGCTCTGGAAATCTGAAGCTAAGGCTTCAGTGCAAATCCTGTGAATTTTTTGTCCTTGCTAGTCAGGGGAAGGTGCTTTGATTTTATGGTGGTTTGTTAGAAAAGCTTTTAAAGTATTTTAAACTTTATTTTTTTCCTTTTTTTTTTTTTTTAATCACAGTCATTCTGCCTCATACTGATAGAGTAATTTGGCCTTGTAGATATAAACAGAGTAGAAAATCATTAAATTGGAAAAAAGAAGTTATATGAAGTAGGGAGTATGTTATATTTAAGGGGAAAAGCATAAAAAGTAGGAAGTGGATATATATAACTTCTAAAGGTGAGAGAACATGTTTCTTCACCTAAGAAGGCCTGGCCTTTGTCAACAGTTTTGCTGTTTCTCACATTGATATGGAGTCCCATGATTTGGAGAAAAAACAATGTAAGCTGCTGTTTGGTGTCTCCTCTGTGCTACACTTTGCCAGCCTTGTCTTCTGTCAGAAGATACCAAAGGATGAGAAAGAAGAAATTTGCAAGAAATTGAAAGTTGATTTCAAAATCAGAGGAAGAGGAACAAAAAGAAGTGGGAATGAAACCACTCAAAGGGGAAGAGGATGTAAATCAGGCCTGCATCCTGGATTCCTTTGAGTTTTTATAGCAAGACCTGACTGTGATGTTGTGAGACAGTCCTATAGTACAACTGAAACTTTAATTTAAAAACCTTCAAGCTAGCTCAGGACCAGTATCTCTCTGAAAGGGTCTTGTCTCCTTGTGTGTGGCACTATTATTTTCTGGCTGGATTAACCTGAACTTGGGTCAGTCGCCCAGTGAAGTTCATCAGAGAGCTTTGGAAATACTTCTGCCAGCACAAATGGCTTGGGTGTGGGTGTCTGTGTGGATGAGGGCAGCAGGAACCTGAGAGCAAGGACACATTAGGACAGGGAGTGCTAGCACTGCTATGTTTTTTTGACAACAGCTCTGACTTACACCTGCTTTGTGCATGTAAAACTAAGGCTTGAAGGTGCAGAGGCCTTAATACCTCGGATTAACTCCTGACTGGAATTTGGTCAGTGCAGTTGCCTTTGAAATATGCTTCTCCAGCTGAATGTGTGCTGGAGGACTGGGCCAAACTGAGACTTTCCTGACTGTTATGATGAGTGTGGATTTTTACTGCTGGAAACATAAATGTGAGTATGCCAACAGCTTGTTTAACATTTCACATTCTCATTTAAAGGGATAAGCACTGAGCCACTGCTTCAGTGTACTGAGACCCCCACAAAAAACCTTTCCAGACAAGATGGTCAGGAAGAGAACAGAAATGAAAACAAAGGTGAGTTACACAGCTGCTGGGACACAGTTTTCTTGACTTGCTCTGGGAAGCATAAATTGAAAATTACAGTGCTGGGGCACCTCTCCTATTAGAGCATTCTGGAGACAGCATAGCCTCACACATGGGACTGTGAGGAGGGACATATGTGTTCTCCACCCCTTGCTGCCATCAACCTGCTGTGTCCGGTTGACACCATCTTACAAACTTGTAATTTCAGCTTTGAACTTTCAGTTTCCAACCGGTGTTAACCCTTAATAAACTGTACAGCTTGCATAGCAAATCTTGGTCTCTTGACAATTCTTGAGCGTGGCAAAGGGTTATTTTTGATCTACCCTTGGAAGACGAGCACCACGTAAACATCCCGGTCCCGTCTGAAGCCCTCTCTGTCTCCAGGGGCAAATAGTCGCGGCCCTGACAATCGGTGACCTTTGGCACCGGTTCACGACACCCAGCTAGAAAGTCTCATGTGTATAAATACTGGTGTTAAACTGTTTAATGAACTAGCTTCAGGTCACATAATTACAGACACGTGAGTAGTTCAGCACTGTCAAGGAAAGTATCTCCACTGCAATGTTCTGCAGTGTACACAGTAACCAAGCATTATGAAACCCCAGAGGCAAGGAGTACAAACCATGCTCTTTCTCCTTCCTTTATTTGCAGCAACCAAACTTGAAGATCAGGAGCCTGTTTTTTTTTCATGGGTTGCCTCCTTCCACCTACTTAATTCAACTGTGTTCTATAAAGTATTTTCAAAAATCAAAATCTTGTCTATGTTGTTAAAAATATAAACACTTCTAATTTATCTTATTGTGTTTATTTTTCGTTTATTCATTCTATAAAGGCTTTTTTTTCATTTCTTCTTGTTGCTTAGATAACAGTCGATTAAATGAAAGAAGTTTCCTTGAAACTTTTTCTGCTGGCAAAGAACAAAGAGAACACCTAAAGGAGGAGATTCCTCCATCTCCTTTTGGCATAGAGGGGAAGATGAAGACTGAGAACATGCAAGACAGGTGAGAAATTATCTTAGTCAGTCAAGCTACAAAAGCAAGTTTTCCTTGATTGTACACATACTGTACATGTTATATTTGCAACACAAAGGCACTTCCCTTCTATTGAGAGCAGCAGGAATGCATGGGCAGAGATTGGACAGCTCTAGGGACTGGCAGTTGATACACTTCTATAAAGCAGGATGCTGGTTTAGCCAGTTTAAATGAACTGGTTTTGTAACTATGATCCTCAAAGTATAGAAGCAAGGCAAAAGTTCTCAGGGAGAGATAACATCATCTTTTATTATGTCATCATTTCTTCTGTAGTAACCATTGGGTTGTGACGGCAGCATCAGTCTGAGTAGCTCATTCTTTTCCTTGCTCTGCCTCTTCAGCAGCACTAAGACAAATTTTTAAATGCCATTATAGTGAACAGGTCAGTGACATAACCCTTATCACAAATTTCCTGGAGAGAGAAGAAATGTAACTTTTAACTTGGATCACTTCTCTGACATGGTTCATCACCACATTGCAAAAGGACTTGTACCAGCACACTGAAAGGATGCTCATGGCTAGGCAAGGATGGGTAGGTTGACATTAGTGATGGAAGAAATGCTTCTATAGTTGTTACTTTTCCCCAGCTGATGCAGATAGAAACAGCAGCTTTTTTTTTGGTACACTGAGCCTTCCATCAAGTACAAAAGAGACAGCAAACTTCTAGGCAAGTATATGTGGGAGTTGGGCAGAGAAGGAAGACAGGGACCTCCAAAGTAGAATGCTGGGAGGAGGTGGCAGGACCATAAGCTCCTCTAGCAAGTGGGCCTGTCCACATATCCATTTTTGGATCAGCAGTGAGCTTCTGAAGTATGTCTCCCAGTCACTCAACCCATGTTTAGGTTCACATCATTTTCTCAGCATGAGCTGGAAGAAACTACAGCACGGAATGTTCTCCAGATCTTCATGACATTTTTGCTATGGGACTAGGCTACACTTGGTTTAAGTAGACTTCCTTGAAAAGCATATTGTCTAACATTAAGTCTTCAGCAACAACAGTTTTGCTCAAAAAATCTAACCCAATTATTAGGCCATTCTGTGTTCTAACAGAGTCAGACTGGCAAGCAAAAAGATTATCCATGGTATAGTGGTGCTAGGTGGAGGTGGGGTATACAAAGAATGGTAATGAGCTGCATAGCCAGCACCTCTGTTAAGAATGGTAATGTGCATAACCAGCACTTCTATTAAACCCAGGATTTTTTAATATTCAGTAGATTTTATGAGTAAGTGACTAAATGAAGGCTCTAAGCACATTGCAAATGAAATAAGATACATTCACGTATGCTGTATTATGCTTCACTTTGAGTCAGGGTTCACTTTGTTCCTCCAGAACACTATAGACATTATTTTTCTCCTCTATCACTTTTCACCAGCTAATTCAAACCACTCTGTGAGAGACAGTGAGTTCTTTGTGACCATAACTAGCTCTAGTTGGGAGGAAATGCCTGAAATTTTTTTCCTTTTGAATATTTTCTATTTTCAAGGAAAGACTACCAGCCCAAAAATGTTACTTTCTGAAAGCATAATTAATGTTTAGGCCAGAAAGGATGTTTTAAAGTGAGATTTGGATGTAACATACTAATGGGCTTTTTTCTAACAAGCTTCACATTTATAAAAAATTGTGCAGAACATTTCAGTTCTAAACTCAACATCAGCTCCATGAGAACTACTGAAAGAAAACTAACTGAAGAACCTTACAAATAAGTACCCTCTTTTTTCTTGTCTAGTCCAATCACACCAGCAATTGGTATTAGACAAAAGGCTTCTGAAGAATTTGTTGGAGAACAACGTAAGGCAGACAACCATCTCCTAGAAAAGCAGCAGATGCAGCAGCAGGTACTGTGCCATTGGTGCATTCACTTTGTTTTTGTCACATTTGCATGGACTTGGGTATTGTGTGGGCTCTGTTTTGGTTCATTGCCTGGCAGCACATTTATACACTTCTATGTGATATTGGAAGATTTTCCCCAAAACTTAAAAAACTGTATTACTCAGTCACAGTCACATTCCCTACTGATTCCCACTGGATTCTTCTCTTTCCACACACTTTTTGGGTCATAGTTTGTGCTTAAGTCTCAACACGTTTAGCTAAATGATATCTCAAGTTTGATTCTGTTAGTTTATTTTATAATAAATGTGCTGTGCATTCTCTCGTGTGGCACTAATACAAGATCCAAATACAGTTTTTATACAATGGCCAAGTATAGTAATGCTGGTCTGCTTTTTGCCTTATGTGCTGTTTGAGATGAGTTTGTCTGACCCCTCTAGATGTCAGACAGAATTTTGTTAGGCTTGTTGACTTGGAAGATACACATTTCATCACTGAGGAATTTTCTCTGTCTTCCTGGCAAAATAACATCTCAGACTGATGCATTTATGTATTTGTGTCACATTGTAAAAAACACTCAAACTTCCTTTAAAAACAGAGGCAGACAGAACTTTTCTCATCCTCTATCACAGGAACACTTAGCACCATCTTAACCATCTGATTCCACTAATGAATTAACAGAGGAATCACATAACAACTGCTTCTAAAAGTTCTCACACCTTCCTCACAGTCTTGGGGCTGTTACTTATGAACTTGGTTATCCATAGACAATGTCAAAGACTTCTGATGTCTCAGCTTTCTCAATTATCATAAATATCTTTATTTCTGGGTAATGATTCTCAGACTGTTACTGTCATCATTGCTGGTGTTTTGTTTTTTTAGATCAAGACAAAAGTAACACCTCGTAAGGCTTTTCTGAGACGAAGAGAAGGTATGGCAAGGCTCAAAAAAAATAAATGGAAGCCTTTAAAAGAAGACAGCATGCATTCCAGAAAAGCTGTTTTGGACTGCTGGGGTCATTTCTCCCAGCCTGGCCAAGTGGAAGCAGGCATACTGCAGCCAGGGGAATGCTCTCAGTTCAATCTACAGGTCAGTAGCTCCATGCAGATGGGTACATGTGAAAAAAAAGCAGACTGCGCTTCAGCTGAGAGGGAGAGAAAGGCTCAGACTGACTATGAAGAAAAAGTAGTTGAGCAAAGTGCAGAAGAAAAAGAAGTGACTAGGAGAGACGAAGATGCAAAGGAAAATCCTGTTGACACACCATGGAGAAGGTGGCCTAAAATCCTGCAACCATGTTCTGAAACAGTGACAGAAATGAACCTACAAGTAGGTGAGGAAAGGGAAACTCATCATATGAATTCTCCAGGGCAAGCAGGCAGAACTGATGGAAGACCTGGGGAGGGTACCCTGCAAAAGGACCTAGGTAGGATGGATCAGCCTCTGAAGGGTCATGTCACAGAGGGAGCAAAACTCCTCTTGGAAGTCTTGCAGAAGCATTGTCCACTTCAGGAGTTAGAAACAGATCACATCAAGGAGTCAGAGCAGAGTGCAGGCCCTGCATTCACACAGGGTCAGAATTGGGTTCAGGTATGCCCACAGGAACCTGTTTTAGGGAGCCAGAGCTCAGAAAGCAAAAGACAAATCACTGGGTTTAAGATGGTCAATGATAAGATAGTAAAAATTACATGCAGTTCACCTGAGGCTGTGGAGAAAGGCAGCTCATCCTCAGCCTTGCAACAGGAGTGGCAAAGGAAGGGGACATCTGCCTTGACATGGTGTATTTTACCTTTGTCCCGTGAGTCAAGCTGCTTAAGCTCTAACAGTGATGATGACCCCAAATCTCACCATGCTCTGTATCCCCCTATCCAGCCTGAGCTTCAAGGAACAGATCATACTGACGGACCTTTGGACCTCTCTGATGGTGATTATGCTAGTGATGAACCCAGTGGAACTGAAATAATATCTGTTAAAAAGTACAGCAAATCACCCCCAAGGAAAGAGATTCAAGGGATCTCAAGACAACAAGGCCTCTCCTGCAGCACAAGCAGCAGTGATTCCAGTACTGAGGCTGTCAAGCTGGAAGGGAGCAAGGCTTGCTCTTCTCTTCAGCAGCCCCTATTTCATCCTACAAGATTAAAAGGAAGAGGGGGTGAGCCTGGTTCAAAGAATGAGGATAGAGCTGGGGATGTTAAAAGCCTACCTCTGCCATCCTCAACAGTGGCTGGTGAGATGCCTGCTTTCAAGATTAAAGAAACCCCTGCAGTGAAGGAACCACAGAAGAAACTGTTTACAGGCACATCAGGTAAGAGCTACGTGAGTTTTGATTTACATTTATCTTCCATGTGGGAAAACAGTTCTTTTGGATTGATGACTCATCCTGCCTGTGCTCCCTAGGTATATGCCACCTCTGTCAGTATTTCTCATTCCTAGCCTTGAAAAAAAAGAGAGGAGAGATGTATCTGCAAGCTTCTTGTTGTGTTTGGTGCTCCACCATCACTAGACATTTTTTCTAAGTCTGTTGCTTGAGGTGCACCTTCAGGTGCAGACTTTTGACCCTATGAGACAGGAGAGAGATTCACTCAGTCCCTGGAGTCAATGCTAGAGCTCTCTGCAGCTTAAGTAGTTCCTCTCACTGACACTTCGACTGTGAGATGTTCACATTTACTATTTACCCTCCCCTGGGATAAAGTGACTTTAAAAAAGGTGGGCAAAATAATTTCTCAGATTTGTGTTTTGTCACAGGTTTTGTCCCTGTGACAAAAAGAGCCTCCCGTGAGTGGGAGAATGATTTCTTAGGAACATCTCTGTTCATCCTGAATGTGATCCTAGTTCTTTGGTCAACCAAACTTTCTAGCCTTTCGGTCTCAGTGATCTTACTTCTGGCAATTAAATGGTATCTTGCTTAAGCAGGATTTACTCCTTGAGTTTTGTTTTTGTTTTTGTTTTGTTTTGTTTTGTTTTTTTAAAGAAGTTCATGCCTTTTCTTCTCTCACAGTTTTAACTGAAGGACATCTCCTGCATTGAGTCATGACAAACCTATTGGCCATCTTTTTGTGTAGGATCAGTGAAACTCAGTTGTCCTGCCTGCAGTAATCACTGGGGCAGAAATACTTGCTTCTGATGGCTCTCAATTACTCTGTCAAAACTTGCTAAGAACACTCCACTCCATGTCATGCTGCTGTTAAAAAAGGGCTCCTGAGGCTTCTCTGAAAGTTGTATTCAAAATAAGATTGAACTATCATGTGGCATTCACAGTTCAGAAAAGGAATTCAGCTATTGACATCGATATATCCCCAAATCCCATTTCACTTCATGATTTGCAGAGCTTGGATTGTGCTACTAAGAACTATGCTGGGAACAGAATACTTGCATAATTGGGCAAAGATAAATTAATTCTTTTTGATAGATTAAGCAATAAACCTTCCTGCATTTAATGCAGTCTATATGCAATCTTAAATACATAGAGTGGGTTCTTTAATATTCACAACATTCTGAGTCTTTACAGAAGAAACCCAGAACATCCTCACCAGAAGATTAGAGACTGGCATATGTCACAGAGGAACCCCTTCACTGACTAGAGTGAAAGAAGAACAAGAGAAAGCAATGCATTTTCACAGGTAAATCTGTATACACCAGAAATGGAATTGTGTGTGCAGTGAGGCAAATATTTCCTTTACAATCCTTAAAATCTAAATTATGTTAAAGTTCTTCTTATTAGCTAACTTCTTTTTGAGAGCATCTATGTTGTCTCAGAACTGAAACCCCTATTTAGCTGTCTAGATTTAAAAGTGCCTAACTGAAGGGGGCCAACTCTGAAAACACTGGTGCAGTTTGAATCTTAAAGCTGAGTAATGCCAAATGCTTTTTGTTAGTTGCTGAACATCTTCAGATTACACTGAAATCAGCAAGAACTCAGGATGATTTGCTTTATGGAATCAGGCCTGTGATGTAGTACAGGACAAAATTCTCATTCACATTAGGGTAGCCCATATTTCTGAAGTTAACAAAAAGTGTGTAGCATATGTCAATGCCAACAGCTTTTTTTATTTCAGGAATACCAATCTTCGGGCCAGACTGAGGGTGCATTTGGTACCACATAAATTAAGAACTTAAAAATTCAAGAGGCTTGTTTTTCTAATTTGAAATTAAATGCTGAAAATTGTTATGGTTTTATGTGTTCATCAAAGAAAAATAGTTCCTTACCACAGAATCCCTGCAAGAAACACATTTTGAAACTGTGGGGTTTGAAATGAAAGGTCCTTCACAGCTGTAACTAATTACAGGTTATGCAAATGCCTCTAATAAAAATTAAGTGTGCTTACAATCAAATCAAAGGTGTATTTTTAATGTGATGAAATCTGTTAAAAATTACTAGGTAGTATCTACTGTAAACACAGGAAAGATTATTTTCATTTTTGCCATTTCAAGCCTAGTTCTAACTGCTTCCAAGTTAACGTAATTTATCGATTTAGATTTTTGTGTTAATATATAATGCAAAATAAGAAGGTTTTTTTTTTTTTACATCTGCTTGTCCATTCCTCTTGATTTCAAAGACCATAGGATTACTGTCAAAGGATATATCTGAATTACATTTATCAGTTTGTATCATTTTCTCCTATTGCTGTCTTTCAGGAAAATACTTTCAATGCCTTAAAAATAAATGGTGTCCTTAAAGTTTGTTCTTGTTTGTGATCTTGCAAACATATTGAAAGATGATCTCTGGCTGACTGTGATAGGTGTTCCAGATGTGAATATCTGGGGCAGTTCATAGAATTACTAATAACATTAGGTGCTGCTTTTACTTTTTTCTGGTGTAAATTTTGGCTGTGGAGTGAGTGATGTACTGGTGCAGAATTGCTGCAGGGCTGCACCCTGCCAGCACTGCATTCTCTGCCTGCTGACAGTGCTGCCTCACAGATGACATAGATATGATTTATTTCATAAAAGCGAAGATTTTTAAAAGAGCTTTCCATAGGTTTATTCATGTCATTAGCCATAGTAGCCCCTAGAATTTCCATACAGACATTTATCTAAGTCCCTGCCTAGTATAAGATGTACATTTGTTCACTCACTTGTTCTAATTTATGAAATAGAACTAATTGCAAAAGGCAGCTTATTCTCCCTACTGTGTCAGCCCTATTCCGATTTATGCAGTTGCAGAATCTGCTTTGTACTTTTAAGCCAATAACTCTATTAGGAACACAAAATGGACACCACATTGACAGCACTTCACTTGAGCCATGTTGACCGCTTGTTCTTGCTTGAAGAAATGAAAATCCTTTTGAGAGCAGCATGACATGCCTGGACCTGCCTAATCTATCCATTCTTTCATTTCCAAGCACTTTGTTTTCAGACCTTTGCAGGCACAAATAATACAAGCAAGAGGGTGAAAACAGTTGGAATCTAGTGTGCTGGGTGTATCTGGTGCCTAACCCTGTTACAGTGCTCAGGGCAGCAGACTGTGCCTCCACCCTTGCAGCACTGAGGTAGTTGCTGCTGCCTCTTGGCATCAGTCGGAGGATTCGATGATTCTTTCTTTGTTCATTCAACCAGGACAGCTTGTTTGCCATTTTTCATACATAATTTCCTTGCAGTATTGAATCTGCACTCTTTCTGGACCAACGGCACTACTAAACATGTTGTGGGGCTACTTCCCACTGTGCTAAAAGACTTTTACTTGGAAAAAAAGACTTTAGTTTCACATATGGTTTTGCCTCATGGCCAGTCTGCTGTGATGTGTCTCGTGCAGAGATGTGCCTGGGATGCACCCAAGAGTCTGAGCCAGCACAAAGTGACTAGAATTTTTAATATATTTTATATCCATTGTGCACGTAGCTCCTATTTGCAATTTATAGCTGGAGCATGAAGTGATTGTTGGAAGCTCCAGGAAAGTGACGTGGGTACTCTTGGTGTCTTTGGTTATTACATTTCCTCAGGCCAGGGTCTGTTTTCTAGCCTTGAGGCAAAGAGGCACAGCAGAACACCTCCATACATGACTAACCTGTCTTACCCTGCAGACCAGTGAGGTTACACTAAAGCTGTCTCCTTGACCTGATCCCTGGCCTGAACTGACCTCAAAACCTTGCCCCTCATGCAGTGCTGGATGGCTGATGCCAAGACCAGAGGTCATGATAGCAATACAGTGCTCTGGACAATTGTGCACTTGGGTTCATGCCCCAGCTCTGATTAATTTATTTGTACAGCTTGTCTTTATTTGTACAGCTTTGTCTTGTGCAATTCTGAAGAGGCTGAAATGCTGCAACAGCTACCTGGGTTTGATTTTACAGGGTGCAAGAAACTTAAGACAGTACTGTTCAGTTTTTGGTGAAAGATATTATGTATAGATCCTGTGTCTTGGTTTTGTTATAGTATGTTATATTTCAGGGCAGTTGGTCTGGATATGGAGCAGTGACAGGCTGCATAATCATGCAGGGGCTATATTTGATAATTTAACTGCATTAATGTGAGGAGAATTAATACTCCTATTGACTTGGCTGAGACTGTTTTAATCAGAATATTAGACAGGCTTATTTAGGATAAATAACAACAACAATTTGGTAATGAATTTTAACAAGCAGCAGGATATATGGGGAGTTTGTTAATTTCTTAGTATCTTTGAGAACTTTCATATTTTGCTTCTGAAGTGGTAAACTCCATTACTGAGAAGAAAACATGAGGTCAGGGCTGCCTTCTGTGGTTCATGTTGCTTTTTAAATAACAGTGAGGGACAGATGGTGGCTGTAGGTCATGAAGTGAGCTGAAGCAGGAAGCTAGAAAATTTAATATCATATTAAAAATGAACTAGGCAACTAGATCATTGTTATACAAATATACTCTGCTTGAGGATATGTAAAGATTTATACTCGTCTCCTCTTGCTGAATTTTTAAGTGCACTTCCAGACCACTTATGCTTTCAGATATTGAGTTCAAATCAAAAAAAGACAAAAATCTCTTCTGGATTCTGAGCTTCCACATTTAACTCTTGGAGTATATTTACCTATGGAAAGTAAACTACTTTGTTGCCTTTCATTCAGGCCCGTGGCTGTTCTGATTTGTAGTAATGACTGGGTTCAGTCACCCAGCCTTGCATGAAGTGCTTCATAGGTGCAATGCCATGGAACAAGTTGTGCCTTCTGCAGGTCTGCCCTAATTCAGCTATCTCTCTGAAGAGAAAATGTTTAAAAGCCATGGTCATTACATTGTCAGAAAATTTAAATGAGGATTTTTTCTATCATCTGCTGAATAGAAGAGTTTTTTTCAGCTGAACGCACGTGTGAGTGTTCCCAGTGATGAAAGACCTCAATTTTGACAGGTGCTGAGAACTTGTTGCCACTCCTAGCAGTATCAGCATATATGGGACATACTCAAGCCCCCCAGAAATCATGCCCGAAGAAGGCGCATCTAAACACAGTCTTTCTTTATAGTCTTTATGCCAATTTCATACTCTTTGTTTAACTTCTGAACAGAACACGAATGGACCAACTCAAGACTGTCAGGAGCCAAGAGTTGACTCACCCTTTGCAATACAACAGAGACCAAATTCACTCGCCACAGAAAGAAAAAATTGCCCATAGCAAGTTCAAAGGAACAGTTAGAATCACAGAAGAAAATGTGAAATCAGAAGAAATACAAGTAAGCTGTCTTCTGTAGAATAAACATGAAGTTTTCATCAGCTAATACCCTTCCATGCAGGCATCTTATGCTAGTACATGAATCCTTCCATTTGCCAAAGATGGCCATTTATTCATGCTAATTCTTGAAGATAGTTGTGTGTAGAGTAAAGATTTTTTATGTTAACAGGACATGGCTTTGGTCTGTCTTTTCAACGTACATCCCACTTTCTTTATATAAGAAAAATACTAGGTCATGCCTTCTACTTTTTAAGAAAGGTTGGGAGGTTCCTGTGTTTCTTATACTTCCTTGTACTGATTTGCCAAGATCTGAGCTGTCTCTTGAAAAATCTGCAACTCCTGCCACAGTGAGATTTACATCTTTTTGATATGAAGAACTATCGTGCCAGAGGCACAGAGTTATTTGCCATCATTCTTTATTCTCATCCCTGAGCTGGGTTTTTGTTGATTTTTTTCTTTAAACTACCCTGACCTTTGTCTTTGAGGTATTTTGATGGTATCTAGTTGTGTATCTAACAACCTAACCTGCCTAATAACATCCCTGAGTCATTTACTGTGGTTTATTGTAAGTTCCTTTAGGGGATTCTATCTGTTTGAATCCTCTCTTTCAGCCTCCTTGGATGACAAAGTAATCTCTGAATATCTGTGGCTATTATCCCTATTAAAAACAGATAGACATAATATGATTGTGAGTAATTTTCTGGAAGAATCACTGATAAAGAGAAGGAAAAAAATGGTGAGACGTGAGACAGTGATAAAGGAGATGGGGGCAGCTAAAAGATTTTATTTTTTTCATAGGATAAAATAGTAGGCAATAGTAATGCTTAGAAATGTCTGGAACAATGTTCTGCTACAAAAAGATGTCTAAACCAAAGTGATATATTTGACAGCAACCTGACAATTTCAATGATTTTCTTAACCATAGAAGTTTCAGAAGTAATAAAACCCAAAAGATAGTGCTTTATTCAAACTTTCTATACTGTCTTAATTTTGCATTTGTACATTTTTTAAATACATGTTTTTGTACCATATACATAGTGGATGTTTTCTTGACTCAAGTTCCATATTTCTCTAGAGGTAACATTTACAACAGGAAAAAAATAACTGTTTCAGAGAGGTTATTTTAATATTTTGAATGAAAATATTTTGAATGTCCTCTCTGCACAGTATTTTGAAACATCATTTTTCTTTCCACTAGGATTTAAAAAAAAAAATTGTTAGACTTTCTTCCCAGGAATAACTCTGTTTCCTGACTAGGTCCAGCCCTAGTGATGAAGTTCAATAGAACTGTTTTAATCCTTTGTTCCCACATAGCATAATGAATACTTCTTGATAACATAATGAATAAAGGTTCAGAAATTTAATTTTCCAGGAAACAATTATAAAACTCTTTCTGAGTCACTTATCTGTGTGATTCCCAAGTTCAGATGTCTGCTTCTTGGAAATGGCTGATGGATGTGCCAAATTCTGACCAGGCAGCTCACAGAAAAGAAAGGATGGTGATTAGAACACAAATGGGCAGATACACAAATAAAGGGAAATTAGGAAATGGGTGCATGTGTTGCTTGGTTGACTTAGAGAGCAAACTGCACTTTTCTATCTCAACTCCACCAGTATTCCAGTTTGCAGTACCCAGCATGAGTGCTCTGAAGGAAGAGGACTCAGTGTTGGCATAAGCATGGGTGAGGGAAGGAGAAGGCAGTAGGGAGAAAATAATGGAGATGCATGTATATGGGAAAGTCCTCCCCAATATGCACCCAACAGGCAAAATTTCACTACTTTCATTTTCCTGAACTGTTGAAAATTATGTCTTTGCAATCCCTTGCTGTTTGTAAGGATCATTTAACTATTCATATGTGATTATCACTACATGAAGATCTGATGAACTGACATTTTTTTTTCCATTAAAATATACCTTGTAGTCTTGCTTTTTTTTAAAAAAAAAAAAAAATTCACATTTAATAGTGTTTGTTTGCATGATTAGTTTGCATTTCCTCCTTTTCCTTTACCCAGCAAGGAGTTCCCTCTGCTGACTTTGTAACAATTGGCTTCTTTTAAGTATAAGGAGTTTGCAGGGTAGTTTGGTTTGTGGGTTTTGCTGTTTGGTTTTTGTTTTGTTCTAAGAAATAATTTCAAATATGTTCTTTTTGTATTGCAGATGTTTATACTGAAGATCTTTATACTGTAGACCTTTAAGCAGAACAAAAGACTCCATGTTTCTTTCTGGATATATAAGGTGGGCATGTCTAGTCCAGGGCAGGCAATGACATGGCACACTTTTTTTTTTCTGCTGGTAGATATTAAAACAACAGATTGCTGGACTACAGGAGGAGTTCAAGAGAAACGAGTCCTGCTGGCATGCTGCCTACAGCAAGCTGAGAGACCAGGTTGAGATGCTGACCAGGCAGAACATGGAGCTTCGAGATGAGCTCAGAGTTTCAGAACATCAGAGATGGAAAGCAGAAGAAAAACCAGAAACTGTGAATTTCATGGACAGAAAATCAGAGACCCCGGTACTGGAAGATGTTATCTGTTTATTACTGTCTCAAAAGTTCAGAGGTAGTTTTTCTTAGTAGCTGGCATGTGTGAATACTGTTCCTTCATTCCTCCCATGCTTAGCTTGAAGCAGGGGGGAAATCAGCTCTGTAGTGTCATGTTAAAATGTACTCTTTTTGTGGTCCTCTTCTATTTAGGCTTACTTATCCATGAGGTCAGCACCTCTACAAGGTGATTCAGCCAGCCTATCTTAGACATTTGTATCAGGGTAGATGTCTCCTTCCACTAACTAGGGAGGGAGTCTAGACAACTAATTTACATTCAGTACCTAAATTAGACAACTAAAGTCTCCTGAAATGAATTCTACTCCTTATACCTATAACACCATTCACCTTTTTAATAAAACAGCACTTCAGCCAGACACAGGCTGTTTTCTGGCAATAGATACAGTGGGATCATCTATTAAATTTCATTTCAGTCTTATCTGGTTCTGTAAACTTTCTGGGAAGCTAACACTGTCAGTGACCTGCCTTATAAAGGCACAAGTTGTACTCCTGAATGGGAGTTACACTGGGGTGGAGCAGGAAGGACAATCAAGGTGAAAAATACAGGTGGCTAGTGTAAATGTCTCCCATGATCTCCTGAAATCAAAACAGTGTAATCATATGCTTACAGATTCCCTTGCCATTTCTTCTCTGTATCCCGTTTGCTTAATATACTTGTAGGGTTGTTATCTTACTATGTAACTGAGTAAATTCATCTAAAGGAGTTAAAGGAACAGAGAAGAATGCTGTTACTCACTTCTTACACAGGAGATGGCAAGTCTTGAGGAAAATAAATAGTTCAGACTAGAACCTAAAAGACAGGATTCTGGTTTGAAGGGGGCATTTCCTCTCCCTGTGTATTCCAGGGAGAAAATATGTCTCTTCAAAGAGGAATCAATTTCATCCTGTATGCACCAAGGCAACTAGAACAAATAGTTATCATCTAGATGGTGCAGTCTGGTGAGATGAATCCTACTCTTCTACAGAGTGTCTAAATGTAGAAGACAAAATTAAGCCATTTCCCTAATTTGCAAATCTAATTTCTAGTAATGTATCTTTAAAAGATGTTATAACCACCAACTAACCTGTCCTTTGCTTTATGGAGTGAAAAAGTTCTGGTCTCTCTTTTTATTTGATTTTAATGTGCTTGTTAATGAGATTTTTCACATAACACTACTAAATTCCATTGAAAATGTCACTTCAAGTTACATTTAACTTTATTTTTAATTTCTCCAAAACTACCTGTTCATACGACTTATCCTTTTATAGATTGTGAAGGTCAGAAAAAAAATTAGAGGCACATGTACAGAATGAAAATATTTTAAAATTCCAGTAAAAGCAAGGATAAGGAAAAGCTAATTGACTTCTGTTGTAAGCCAGATTTCTGTATTATTTCTACTGCTTTGGGACATTTAGTGATGTAGAACAACTGCTCAAGTCACTGAAGATTTTTGTTATGTGAGACTAATATTAGCATGCTGTATATAAAGATGTTAGGATGCTGTACACAAAGATGCTGATTTTGTCTGATACTGGGGAGTTTCAGTCCCTAGCAGAACAAGTTGTGGAATTGCATTCATTGTGTTTAAAGCTGTAATTTTTATTACAACAGAAAACCAGATGCCTTTGAGGGTTGTTTGATTCTAATAGCTGTGACTCAAACTATATTTTTTTAAACAAACTCTCCACTAGGTTGCAGAAGCTATTCTGCAAGAGACAGCACCTTCATCCAGACAAGAGGAAAGATCATGGAAAGATAATCACAAGAGGCACAGCATCTGCCATGTGGGGCCAAAGACATCTCTGCAAAAACACTTCTTCAGAGACGTGAGTAGCAAAGTACGCGTTCCCATTGTTAGTAGTCACCTTTCCACAGGTGACTGTGGAAATAGTATATTTAAAAGAATGTTCTTTGGAATCAAAATTTGTACAGATGAAAGTGTCTGTGTAAGCATGGTCATGTTTTCTTGCAGTGGGCTTGTGCTGTTACTCAGCATAATTTTGCTTGTAGCTTTTATTCTGGTTTTGTAGTAGCAAGAGAGAAAACTTGGGTTTGTTCTTCTAGATCTAACTGAATTGCCTGTTGTTTGCAAATATGCTCTGAGTTCATTGTGCCTGCTACTTCACAGACTGGCTGTATTTACAGGGAGCTGCCATACTTTGCCTCAGCAAACCACAAATCCAGTATCTTGCCATTCAAGGTTTTACTTCCCAAAAAGCACTATAAGTACAACAATCAATAAGCCTTCTAAATAAAGGCAGTGGAAAAATAAAGTCAGATCTTCGTTTCTGACTAGTACTTGTATGACCACTCCACAGCCAGTTTACCATCTTTCTTACACATCTCACTGTTTAGAACACATAGGTATCTAAAAATCTCATAGTGTTTTTCTTTCTTTTCCTTTTTTTTTTTTAATATTTCTTGCTTCTTATTATGAGTATCTTGATTATTACAAGTGCCCTTTCTTCAAGTGAAGTCTCTCTGAAATTCCTCCTACCTACCAGAAACTAATCTCCCAATTCCATTGGCTAAAGCCAAATTTAGCTCAGATCAGCAAACACACCACTCACTCTTCCTGTTTAAGGACTGAAATAATATGTAAAACGTGTCAGATGGGAAAGGAAGTAAGTATTCCACTCCAGTGATCATGAGAGTGTGTGTCTTGAAAGTCACTAGATAGTGTCACTAGACAGATTTAGTGAGTCCTGCATGGTGCCAGAAATGAAAAGAGAAAATGATAAGAACAAGTCTAAACTGAATATGCCTTAAAAGAGCAGAATCAGTCATATTCAGAATAGTAGCTTCAAAGAGGATTCAGATATTATGTGCCTGTCTTCAAGACTGGCTACATTTCTGAGCAATATATGTTGTTTATAAGTCAGAGAAGGTTTAGCTGCAGGAAATTGTTTTATTTGTTCTATATGGATTGCAGATCTCCCTAGTGCCTTCTACAGCTGGGATCTCTCAATTCCTCTGTGCTCTGGTAGATGATAGACAAGTAATGTGCAACATACCTCCTGTAGTTAAAGTGCACAGTAAAGTCAAAAAGCTATCTTTGGTAGCTCACCCTGGAAATTTTCAAGGTATGAAAGAGTTTGGAAGGGGGAAGTTAAGTACAGTAGACTTTTGGGCTTCCCGTTATCTGAGCTTTCACTATCTAGCCAGCATAGGATCCAATCCAACTGGAATCCAGCACAAGCATCACAAGCATGAGCTAGACTGGTGGGCATAGTGCCCAGATGCCCTGACTGAACTCTGGAATATTTGACAGAGCCACATGCTCTTTATCTGATTTGATGGAAGCAGGCCTTGCAGTGAATAGAGCAGCTGCCAATTATTTTACCCTAGAACTGAAAACTCAGGTAAATGCAACATTAAACAGAAGCTCCAAATCTGTGTCGTAACAACAGATATGAACGCAGTTACTCACTTGTGCTTCCTTTGTGTTTGAGTTCTTTTGCTAGCAGGGAGATGCTTTCCCTCAAAGATTCTGTGAATCTGAACAATTCTAAATTTGGGATATAGATAAAACAAACTCTCATGTTGAGAATTGAGAAACTGTCTGTGGGAACACATCAAAGTGAATGGGATACCCTTGAGCCACAGAAGCAGACGTGTGCCACAGGCACATGCGTAGACCTGCAGCAAGTGTTTTAAAGCTAGCTAGGACTGGTGAGTTTCATCAGCTGTAATCAAGAAAGCAAAGCAACACTAAACATCTGACTTAGTTCTGTCAAAGCTATATAGAATATGAGGTTATGTACAAAAGCAATCGGGGAGCAAGTCTGAATTAAATTGTAATGTCGTTTATTACTATAAATAGCAGGTGGCCATACACAATAACAACAGATCCCCTAAATTTCATTGATGAAATGGAGAAAATTTTACAGCTGGCAAAAAATGGCCATAACGACTGTTGTCAGAGAAGGAATTGTGCAGCCTTCCTGGGTTTGTGCTTTGCTAGTCCTGTGTCCCTGGAGCAACAGCTCATGGACTTCAGCAAATGAAGCTCATGGCAAATAAATTCTTTCCATGGACTTTTTACAATCACCTTCCCATGCAGTCGCTCTCCAGTGTGCAAGACATTTCACAATCAGAGTACCCTGTACAATTTCCACAGATGTTTAAATTTTTGTTTGTTTGTTCCTGCCCATCATGTGCTTAATCCTAGTGTTTCACCAGCTCACTGAATTACAGATTCTTCTGCTATTGGTTCTGACAGACACAGACATCACCTCTTGTCATTTCTAGGCTGACTGCAGCAATGTGGGCAGTGAGACTATGGCATTTCTGTACCTTTGTAAAGCCTCAGTTTTTCTGTCACACCAATGTAACATTTTCTTTGCAGTTGTCAGTCCCTAGCAGTCATTGTGTAAATCACGTACATCTCATGGTGGTCATGAAGGAATATTGTATGGTTTTCTTTTGTGCTCTGATATAAGGTCTCCAAGAAAAATTGGGGAAGTTCTTTTGCGTAAATGTGATCTTTTCAGTCTAAATATCTGCTACAGTTTGTTTGGAACTGTTCACATCTCATTTCCTTTATGTGGTTCACATACGTCTTAGGGTCCTACGAGGCTTGTGTAAGCCTTAATTGGTGGACAGGTATGAGGACAAAATATAAAAAAGATATACATTTGGCAAATAAAAATGAACTGTCATGCAGTATATCTTACTGAGGTCCACTCAGCTGTGATATCCCAAAGAGAGATATCTTCCCTACCGTTGGCAGAGTGGCTGGGACTGAGGGATGAAAGCATGGGAGCAGCTGTTGACCTTGTACTATGTGTCCTGGATTACCCTTGACTTGCATCATTGTCCAAGTAGAGAGAAACGTGGGAAGCAAAATAAGATCCTAAATAGAGAACTACATATAAAATATATGCCTGTGTTTGTGTGCGTGCTCACACATAAAACTAATCCTTTTCCTAAAAGTTTAAAACACTTCATGATGTACATGTTGCAGAAGGATTTTTAATGCAATTTGAAGATGCTTATATCAACTTAATACAAATGTAGCCTTACCTTTTAGGCAACAGAAGCCTCTGTGCAAAGAGTTGATCCTTTGCGATTGGTGACAAAGGAATACGAAGAAAAGAAACCATCTAACTGTTCCTTTGGCAGAAGCACAACACCAACTGGCAGGAGGACACCTCACCAGGGAAGACTGACACCTGTGGAAACAGAAGAAGTAAGCCAGCAGCAAGGTCTATTTAGATTGCCTTTTTTTACCTTTTATGGTACTGTTCAGAAGCTAGATGGGGATCCTGATTGTCATATAGCTGCTGCTTGGTTTTGGTTTTGTTTGGTTTTATTTTTTTCCCCACCAGTACTGCATTTTGTTCCCAGAAATTATCTTAGAGACTGTTTGTACATTGAGCTGTTTGGGCACCTCCAGGCCAGAGTGTGGGTGAATGGTTTTGAAACCTGCCCTTCTTGCCCTCAGAAAAAGTTCAGAGGTGACCAATGCACCAAGGCATTGCATGGGCCTGTGGCCTCCCGAGTGCCAGGGGCTGGGATCATTAGTGACTCGCCATCCAGTACGGTAAGGCAGAGCCTGTCCTACAGCCCCAGCCAGGGAGGAGGGCAGGCTGGGGATGGAAGACAGGGTCAGGTCAGAATCCCAACCATCAAAGCCCATAGTGATGAGTCAGGTCTGAGGTCACAGCAGGAAGTGAGCCCATGGGCCAGGGTTGGGATTTGGATCAATGACGTGCATGGCCAGGCACAGGCATGGCTGCAATGCAACCCAATGTGGACTGAGAGTGAGAGCTGCTGAAATGTATCTTCCAAGAAAAGGAATGGGGTGGGTGGCCCTGTCTAAGGCTTCTTCCAGCCCTTCCACCCATGTCTCTTTCTCCACAACAGTCTGAACCAGTATCAGTGCACAGACAGCTAACCTCCTAGGAAGGGGAAATGCACTCTGGCCATGTCACTGATAGCTCTCATGTTACAGTGAATCATGACTGTATGTCAAGGCCTCTCTATTCTGCTTCAGGTTGTACATCAACCCCCTCCTACTGGGAGGAGAACAGTTGATAGCAAATCACCTAGAGCTGTCTCGCATCTGACTAGTGGTTTTAAAGATTCTAACTCATCTTCCTATGTAAAAGGTAAGATTTATGGGAACTGTCTGCCTACTTAGAGTGGTCTGTAGATGGCTTGGAGACACTGGTCCCTAACTCTTGGCTCACAGGCACTACGTTGTTGGTAAAACTCTCCTATAATTCTTATAAGAATAATTAAATTTATATTTTACAAGAGAGGGAGAGCAGATTGTGCTGTTGCCTGTTTACTCATTGAGTTTGTTGACCTAGAAGCCCAGAAGGTGGGAGAATGGTTGTGGTCTGCATTTTACTATGGTCCAGGACAAAACACCTTCAGAAGGGTGGACAAGCTGTTAGAAAACATTACTGGTATAAGAAGTAATGTGTTGCAAGTATCTGAGAGCTAGCATGTTTTAAAAACCTTCTGAGATAGGTATGGAGACATGGGATTCAACAATTTTCATATGCTTTCAACGTCCCCTTTTACTTTGCTTTTCTTATAGAGAGGTCTTTGCCCATTTCAGGCAGCTCAGAAGACATGCCCCTCTCACACAACCACAGCAAGGACACTTGCAGATTTGCACTCTGCAGTAGCAAGGAAGAAAGAGAGGTATTTCACCATGTAACTCTATAAAAACAGTGAGTCTGTGATCTTAGTTTTCATATGCAACACCCTAAATCCCATTCAGCTGGGAACAATCCTATTCTAGCTTTATTTTCTTGCCACTAGTAATGATAAGTACACTCTTTAAAAGAATATTGCAATGGTTTAGAAATAATGTAGTAGATTTCTTTATCAACATACTCCTGCACAAGTTGCACATTAATAAATTAATGTTGCAATTTAGCATTTAAATTTTGGCTCAGGAAGAAGAGAGTTTTAGTATTAAAAAGACAGAAAGATTGCTAAAGCCTCAGAATAAAGAGGATTTTGTGACCACACAAAAGAGAAGTGACGAAACTGCATGTGACAACAAAATATCTACAGACAGTTCTGCTTTTCTGGATGCTGAAACAAAGGTTTGAGCAGCTTATGATTCTGGCTCTTATATAATCAGCAACTGCTTTCTTTTCATTTGTGAACTGAAATGAAACACACTAAGAAAAAGCAAATCTTCTCTTCCCATTTCCTACATTATGCAGCAGACACAGGGAGGAATCTGGCAACTTCAGGTACTGTGTTTACAGCTTTTTAGTGAAGCATATCATTGCCCTTTGGGAGCAGTAATCCCTGTTCCTTTGGATCCCACAATTCAAAATACACCACATGTTCAAACTATAATTAACATTAGGTAGTAACTGCTCTGGATGCTCTATGCCAGATGTCAATCAACTTCAGGCTCCTTTACACTGCCAGACAGCGCAAAGAACACTCGTTGTAATAGTAAATTGGATGTGTGACGTCCTGAATAGCCCTCAGTTACACAGTTAGCATTACCTACAGTGAAGAACCATGTAATTAGTTTTGGAAGAGTGGATCTAGCAAATAAAGGTACCTTTCTTTGCAAATTTAGTCCAATATTCAAAGGTAGTTGTGTTCTTTGTTCTTGAGTTTATTCTCACCATTTCCGATAGCGTCGTTTTGACAGAATGTGCTCTTGTCAACTCATTTTTGGACTTTTCCTATGCCATCTTCTGCTTTGCAAACTGAAGTTAACTGGAAGTAATGTGCAACATTTCTAGTTATAAGTAAAAGATCAAAATTCATTACAAATGCAAGGCAATGCCAGAAAGGAGAGCAGCTTTTCTCTGTGTGTGTGAAAGTAAATATGGGGTTTGCACAGCTGATTAAAATAAATGAAAATATTTTTAACACATTTCTGTTTATATAACACTGACTGTGATTTTTTCACAATACAGCCTCTAAAATCAGTATTATCTAGAAGGTCAAGATTACATCAAGAGAGAAGAAAAAGTGAGGAAGAGGTGCAGGAAAAAATAGAGTATCGTGACGGAAAGGTGAGATAAAACAGGGTTCAGAAATACTTGAAGAGATCACCAATAGGATTGTGCTATCAATGGGAATCACTGCTTCCAGTAGCTGTAGAAAACCTAGTCTAGTGGGAGATGTCCCTGCCCATGGCAGGAGGGCGAACTAGATGATCTTAAAGGTTCCCTCCAACCCAACTCTGATTCTATGTCTCTAATCAAGTGTCTGTTCCTTAAAGGAGAGCTGAAAGGTCAATGTCACTCCATGAATGGTATGAAATATGAATAGATGATGGGCTGGAAATCAAGTAACCAAATTATTTTCTTATCTCCCACATGGATTTGCTCTACGACCTTCAACAAGTCCTTTTGGTTTCACCTACCTCATTTTGGGGCTGGAAGGAATGATATGCTTATGGTGTTTTTCAGTACAAGAATAAAGGCCATTCTTTTACTTCCTTAAAAGTGAATCTAATGACAGTGAGCCAGCTGGACACCACTTGTAGAAGTCTTCTGTTATACACAGCTGGCTACACCTGGAGCAGCATCGGTGGAGTTTGGCTCAGTGCACCCTATGCAGTTTGCTCAAGCCACCTATCAAAATTCCCACTGATTCCCCAGCTACATCTAGAGATTGCTTCCAGCTGCCCCTTGTCTTGAGATCCACAGCTCAGTTTGGCAGCTGGTTTCATCCTTTTCCTGGAAGTCCCTGTATTCCAGGAGGTGATGAGCAGGCAATTCCAGCTAGCTTCCCACTGTGTCCCTGCACTCCTTGCCACAAAACTGGATAATTCATTCCTCAGTGTCCATGTTACTGTTCCTGCACAGCACCTCAGGAATGATCTTGAAGGGCTGATTCTGTAGATAGTCTATGCACTGGAAATTTGGTGCATTTGTGTTGTCACTGCTCATTTAGGCCAGATCTGAACTCAGTCCCAGATGTTTCTTCAATTCCTCTGCTCCAAGTAGTCTTATCCTCTTAAAACATTCCCTCAATACTGACCAATTTGTCTATTCCGGATAAGGTTTTTGGCTAGATAAAGTTAGGACAGTATTTCAGTTTCTATATCTGTCCAGTTCTGGGCTTCTCTTTTCACCCTGCCAATAATGAAGTTGTGAGCAGTCACAGAAATAGCTTCACCAATATAACAGTTGTTAAGGGAATACTGGTTTGAGATACCAATTATTTTATAGCTAATGCTGATACGGGCTCTATGAAAGCTTCTACCACTTACAATTCCCTGTTGTAGAAGTAGTGAATACAGTATCTGTTGTTTTCGTCCTCAGAAGAAAATAATTACAAAAAAAAGTTCACTTTGACATTTTTACCACCGGATTTCACTAATAAAATTGAGTGGTGGTCTGCACTTCCTTGTGCAATGAAAGGCAGATGTCAAAATGAGGATTGATGCCTTTAAAAAGAGAAAGCAACTCTAAAGTATGTGGACTTCTTGTAGAAATACCTTTTGTCATGAGGAGGCATAAAAACATTTTTCCATTAATAATTAGTAACTTTTAAATCAAATTATTTCTCAAAACTAAATTCTTGTCCTCATTAATCAGTACAATGCCTGTTTGGAGAAATACAGTATTTCTCGTCCTCCAAGCATATTACTGCTTTAAAAAAAAAAGTATGAAGTCTTCTTTGACTGAAATATTGTTTGTAGAAAAACACACTGATGACACTATTGCCCCCTGTTGTTAAGAAGTTTTGAGCAATTTTGCAGACCTCTGCATGCAGCCACATTTATTTCTGTAGTACCTAGTATCCATGCAGGGTTATGTTACCTGGAATAAAATGGATGTTAACGTATGTCAGCAGTCTGTGTTAATATGTGAAGTTAAATCATTTGGGTGCACACAATCCAGAATGGAGGTTTACTGAGTGACTTGTGTGGAAGATGTACCAGCTATGAAATGAGTAGAAGCCATAATTAATTGGTCAAGGAAAAACCTGAATAGCTTCCCTGTTGCCACAGGACTGTGTGTCTTAACAGAAAAACAAGGTGGTGGGGTGGGAACTTGGGCCAAGTGATAGAAGTAAGTTCATTTTGTGAAAAGAAAACTACTTTGGGCCTTTTTTACGCACAAATGAGGCAAAAATAATGTCCATGTGCTGCAGAGAGCTTTCAAAATACAAAGGCATAACATGACTTAATTCAAGCTCCAATTTAATTGGAAGGCAGCTCAGTGTTACTAATTTCACTTAATTTAAGTTAGATGCTCTCTGTGTTTGAAGGTAGAAGAGGTGCTTACTGATGGGCGTCGGATCATCACTTTCCGCAACGGTACTAAAAAAGAGATCAGTGCTGATAAGAGGATGACAACGATAAGCTTTGTCAATGGAGATGTAAAGAGGATCATGCCAGATCAGAGAGTGGTGTGTGACTTTTTTTTTTTCTTTAAGGAAAATAAAATGTTTAAGCGTTTTTCCAACAAGATCCTATCATTTATCTCGATCTATCAATTCAGGGAAAAATTGATGAGGAAGGGTGTTGGTTTAACATCGCTGAGCAGTGAAACTGCTTCATCTATAAGGACAAAAGTGAAAGAAACAAAGGTGACAACCAAAGAAGGAAGAAATGGGTAGTTGGCCAAGCAGATGAAAGGAGACTGAAAGAAAGAAAAGGGCAGGGGCAGACAGTCGAAGCAAGGACTGTTTTTTATTCATTAGTAAAGTAGGTAGTAGAGAGGTTTCTTCCCTCTTTGCATTACGTGTATATAAACAGTTAATAATAATATAAGCTAGAGGGGAAATGAGGCCTTGGCAAAAGTGGGACTACTTTAAATTAGTAGTGCCTGGGTGGGAGCCAAAGCCAAGAGGTGGGAAAATGACTTTCAGGTGTGCACTGTTCTCTTGTATGCTACAGAGATGAAAGTAGCACCATCTAGACACAGCTATGAGGAAGGCTGTGAAGGAGAGGGAGGAACAGCAATGCAAACATAGCTTCTTTTATGGGTGGCAGACACAGAAAATGACCTTGAAATGACTTTTTAAAGATGGCTAATTTTTACGCACATTGTTGAATCTGCTTATGCAAATATCGTGAACATGTTGCACAAGGAACTTCTCTCTCTTTCCAGATTTATTATTATGCAGATGCACAGACAACCCACACTGCTTATCCAGATGGCCTGGAGGTGATGCAGTTCCCTAATAATCAGATAGGTATGAAAGAGCTCATAAATGTGAACTATATGTGCAGGAAATTTCCTATTAAGAAAGTGCTGTCTGATCCTGACTCCAGATGGGTTATTTCCTTCCTGTTTTGCTTTGTCTTTGCATTTCACTTCCAGCATGTTCCATTGCTTTATTTCTCCTTTTCCTCCTACAAAGCAAAGATAGTAATGGGATGTAAATGCAGTTCTTCTAATTTTGATGATCCAATTATTTGATACTTTAATTTCTTTAGTGGTATGCTGGATATTATTTCCATTCTCACTACAATGTCCAAAATAAAAACCTGATCTAGCTTGGTATAAAGCAACATGCAAGAATATTTGGACTTTTCACATCTTCTTTTCCACAGAAAAGCATTATCCTGATGGCACACAAGAGATTGTGTTCCCAGATCACACAGTGAAATGTCTCTACAGTAACGGATTCAAGGAGACTTTTTTCCCAGATGGTACAGTAGTAAAAGTAGAAAAGTAAGTCTTATGTTAATGACAGTAACCAGGCAATGGACACAGGTACAACGATACTGACATTTAAAACTCATTGGATTCTTCATGTCTGGGAAATTTTCAGATGAAGGGAGAAAGGATTTGTAAGATAATGAAAGTTTTGCTACAATGAGGCACTGAAAATTGTTCACTTCCACCTTGATTGATAAGTGACCTTTTATCACTGGCAAAGTGTCTGTGAAATATTCTTCATTTAGTTCCATGTAACTTTACACTGGCCAGGGTTGCTAGGAGATCACTGGTTGTCTCCATTAACAATGTGGGCACTAAAGCACTCAGGATGAGGATTCCTGAGCTTTATTCCTAGCTCCTTGTCTCCCTTTCTGATCTTGAGCAAAGCGTTTAATGTATTATCTCTCCATTCCTCCACGTACAAATGAGGAAAAACAACAACAGGATTTTCTTGCACATGACTCTTCTGTGATTAGGGAGGATCCTGTTGTAAACTAGATTTCCTGCTTGCAAAACGCCTTGAAATCCTTGCATGAAGATGTCAAGTAAAATGCATATCTCACCATCCATTAGATGTTATACTATAGAATCTTTTATGTCAGAAAAGACCTTTAAGATCATCAAGTCCAACCATTAACCTAACCATCAGTAAACCATATCCCTAAACACCACATCTACATGTCTTTTAAATACCTCCAGGGATGGTGACTCAACCCCTTCCCTGGGTAGCCTGTCCCAAAGCTTGGCAACCCTTTCAGTGAAGAAATTTTCCCTAATATCCAGCCTAAACCTCCCCTGGCAAAACTTGAGGCTGCTTCCTCTTGTCCTGTTGCTTGTTACTTGTGAGAAGAGACCAGCACCCATCTCACTACAACCCCCTTTCAGGGAGTTGTAGAGAGTGATAGGGTCTCCCCTGAGCCTCCTTTTCTCCAGACTAAGCAACTCCAGTTTCCTCAGCTGCTGCTCATAAGGCTTGTGCTCCAGACCCACCACCAGCTTCATTGCTCTTGGGACACACTCCAGCACCTCGATGTCTGTCTTGCACTGAGGTGCCCAAAACTGAACTCAGTACTCGAGGTGTGACCTCACCAGTGCTGATTAGAGGGGAATAATCACATCCCTTGTCCTTCTGGCCACACTGTACTGAAGTACCTTTGTATTAAAAACTTCCTGTGAGATCTGATCTCTGATACTATCCCACGTAAATGCTGAGGTGAATTATAACCTATCTGAGAGTTAATAATGTCTCAGTTTCCACTTGACGTTGTTTTCCACGTTTATTGTGTCACATTAGACAGCTCAGTGTGACAGGTTACTAATTGGCAGTTCCTTCTCATCATTTCATTCATTGCTGTTCCTTTCAGGAATGGAGATAAAATCGTGGAATTCAGTAATGGCCAAAGGGAGATTCACACTGTGCAGTTCAAGCGGCGGGAGTACCCAGACGGCACTGTAAAAACTGTCTACTGCAATGGCAGGCAGGAAACCAAGTACTCCACTGGGCGAGTCCGAATCAAAGATGAAGAGGGTAATATCATCCTAGATAAGAAGTGATTCCTCCCCTCAAAGGGCTGCACTGTACGTAAGTGGCTCAACCCATTTTCTTGGCAGGTCAGTGCTATTAGGAAGACTTGAGACGTGTCAAAATGACTGGATGGATCTGTAGGGCTGAAATTTACTATGGCTCAGTGATTGGTGCATAGTTTGGAACAACCTTACCTGAACCAAATGTTTCCTGGGTGAGACTCAAAGGAGATGCAGTCATGCCCTCTTTGTGTAATGTAACATTAAAATAAATGTCCATAGTACTTCTCATCAGAGTGCTTGTTTCATGATATTGATCACACTTTCCCTTGACTTTGTGCTAGTTACCTACAAAAGTGACTACAGTTAAAGAGCATGGCATAAGAACCTCAAATCTGCAAAGCTTTTTGCATTTCTGTTTGGTGCTGCCTTACCCTGAGTCTTTCCTCAGACCTCCTCTGTGTTGCTTTGTTTTTGAATCAACCTCTCCTACTATTGCCGTTATTTATCCAACAGTCCACAACTATTTTTGGTCAGTGAATCTCTTCAGCTTTAAGGCTCTTGGGATGGCACTTGATAGCCAGGGGGATTAACCGTTAATCAGATGCTGGTTTCAACTATTTTCCCCATAGACTGCCTGTCCATCAACTGTCTTGAATTTTTCCAAAGCACTGAAGCATTCCCCCTGTAGGGCTCAGCTCATTACCTGCCCATTGACTGAGAAGATCAATTATCTCCTTACGCCCTTCCAATTCCTGTAGCAACAAACACACTTTCACAGCATGCTGTTTTAGCCTTTTCTCACACCTAAGTGCAAAATAATTGCAAGATTATGGAATTGCTCTTTCTCCTCTTCAATTTCCTGTGGGTCAGACTATTGACAAATCACCATTCAAATTGGCAGGCATCTTTGGAAGAAATAGATTCAACAGAGCAAGAAGTGTTGCTAATACTGATCATACAGATGCTTCAGTTCATGACTTTAGTTATGATGCCATAAACATCCACACAGCTCGATGTTGGCTGGTGTTATAATAAAATTCCATTGTTTTTCCTTCACTCCTGCGTAACAAAGGAAAAATTTATGTACCCGTGCTTTTCACTACTGAAATTTTCAATATATTTCATATGTTTTGCAAAGGCAAATTCTAATTGAAAGAAATCCAAGAGATCATTCTTTTCCACATGTTTCACTAGGAATTTCAGTTCAGTGCTGCCTTACAGTGATCAAAACAAACCTACACATACTTTTTTTCCTCAATTAAGCATTGTGAAAAAAAGTTAATGTGATTAATGCTTTCAGTTTGGCTGGGAAACTAGATGTTCTCTAAAGGACTGCTGTTTTATTCCTAGGAATTCCTTTTAACAAAAGGTCCCTGTTCTCCAGTTAGTATGATGAGATTCTGTTTCTATAGTAATGCAGAAAACAGGCTTTGTTTTCAGTTTTTAGCCTTGAACTGTGGTTTGCCATTCCAGAACCTGTGTATATAATCCCTTTGTAAATTAAATAAGGAATGATTTCATTTGTATGCTGCTTGTTCCTTGCTTTCTTAAGCACTCTCGACTGTAGTTGCAGGAAGCATTTAGATTCTGGAATAATTTGGCCTCTGGTCCTGCAGAGGTGTGAGATCCAGGGCACAAGTGCCCGTCGGCCTCCAGAGCTGTGTGTGTGTGCGGGCACCTTGCTGACGTACGCGCTGCCCTGGCTGATGAGCACGTTCACCCTGTCAGCACCTGCCTACAGGGAGCTTGTAACTGTGCCTAACTGTGGGCCTGGTTCTGCCTTCTGCCAACCCCTCTCTCTCACTGTTCTTACTCAGACTGGTTCTTCAGGGAGACAGAAGAACAGCTACATAAATGACAGGCTCTGACAGGTATGTTACAACTGGGAGTCCTTCATGGACCAGTTATGATGTGTGCCACGCTGTTTTTCACAGGCTGCTTTTCACAGGCTGCTTTTCACAGGCTATCTCCTCCATCTTTCACTTGCAGTAGTTAACCAGGAGCAGTAATGGCTCTACCAGCTACAGTTCATAGTTGCAGGAACACAAATAATCCAAGTTAAGTGTGACTGCATAAGTACTTAAAGTGTAGCAATACACACACCTACTTTACTATGGCTTTTGTCATAGAGGGTTTATAGTGAACAATTTTTATGAATCCTTCAGGGAGATGGAATGCAGTTGGGAAACCCCACTTCTCATCTTTCCACAGGTTTTCTGGCATTAGCAGAAGCATGCTACAGCAAGCATTTGGCCTCCATTTTGATTGAAATTTAGAATACATTGTGACTTCTGAACAGTGACTTCCATTCAGGCAGCTGGGGGCAGCAAAGATGTAGAAGAGCAGGGTAGTATTTTGATCATCATCCCAAATGCTCCAGTTCAGGGTTAGTATTTTTCTATGAACAGCTGATCACCAGTTTTATTGCAAGCACAACAAAGCTGCCTAACCACTGTACCAACCCAGTGGCTAATGCAGTCTGTGAGAGAGAGGTTTAATCCAGTATTCTGAATGTGATACTTGCAGTTTTATATTCTACTTTCTCATAACAAATTTCTCTGTTACCTTGGGAATATTAATTATCTATTTATTAAGAGTATATCTGAAACAAAACACTGGAGCAGTATATAGATTATTTTGAAATTGTAGAAATTCTTACAGAAAGTAGAGACCTACTGGTCATAAAATGAAAGTAACAGTTGTTTCATGCAGTGCAAAATTAATTTCTGGAAATGAATGCGAAGAAGCTGACTGGATTCTTCAAAAACCTGACAGTTTTGTGTACTTCACATGACCTGCACCTTTGTAAACTGAGTGCATATGGAATGCCCCCTGGTGTAAAGTGACCAGTTTCTCAAGCTGTAAAGCCCCTTCAGTTAGGAAAAGAAAAGAACCAAAGATAGCTGAGAAAAATAATAAAGACTGGCATTTCTGAGGATGTTTTGAGACATGTAATTCTCCATTTTTATTCTAGGATTCCGTTAATATTCCAAGAATTAGTAAAAAAAAACCCAGTACTTTAATTTTTAAAAATAATCTGTCATGCTAAGTCCTAAATTACAATTTTAAAATTGTGTATTGTTTGAGATGTCTCTCTTCCAAATACCATTTCAGGGTACTGCTACCTCTTTCCAGCTAAAGCCATTTATGGTAAGGCCATATAACTTCATGAAGTTACACAGAGGTTAAATAGCCTGTCCTTTTCTTTGTGTTCTGCTGTTTTGATGGTAACTGTTTGCTCACTAATTTGCTTATTTCCTTTATTATGCTCTTTGTATCTGTCCCATCCCTGGAAGCCTGAAGTGCAGCTTCATTGAAAGGAAAAATAAGGACAAACCCTCCTACACGGGGGATAGGCCTCTGGTCTTTATCGGAGAGGAAATAGGGGTGCATGGTTAACTTGTAATTGCAGAAGTCAGGTGTGGGCGACCATTGGCTGAGTTGGGCAGACTTGGGTGGAGAATGCCCAGCTCCTGGGTGTTGTTTATTTTGAGCTCCAGTTTTTGCTTTGGAGGATGTTTTTGGCGTGTTCATCCTTTCCCGCAGCTCAGAAGTCAGTGTTTTTCTTGGATGTGCTCTGGCAGTTTTCTTGGTCTGAGTAGGCACCTTACAAATCGATCCTCTGGCAGCCTGCAGGGCAGGTTGCACAGAAGAAGCAGAAGTACATTTAGCCACTTTCTGGCAAGTGCGTAAGCCTGGAGTCTCCTTGGTGGCATTCTCACCAGCTGTGCTCCAGGGCACCCACCTTCTGCCACCCTTTATCCCAGCCACTTGGTTTTGCCTCAAAGCGTCAATCTGCTTGTAGTTCAGCAGTTCAACAACATCATGAAGAAGTTTTCTTTTCACTGCGACATCAATAGAACAGTCTAAACACAAGGCTGGACTGTAGTTGACTTCTAAAAGCCACGGCTTGAATTTGTCATCAATCAGGATGTCAAAGCCAAAGAGCTCAAAGCAATTGGGAGCCACTGGTAGGGGGGTTACAGCGAGCAGAGTGAGAATCACTATGTTATTGATCTTCTGCCAGAGGACCACATCATCAACCCCAAATATTCGAAGGTAAGAACGAAGTTTGCTGAATGTCCATTTGCAGCCACAGCCAATCCCTTCTTTATATTTTGTATACGAAGCTCCATATTTGTTGATGCTGGTGTTTGTTAGGTGCGCATAGACGTTGTCCAGAGAATCGAGGTCAAACTTCTCTGTGGCAAATCTCACCAGTCCTTCTTCGTAAGTGTAAATGGTGAGGGGGCAAAAACTGGTGACACACACATAAAGGCGCAGATCCAGTTTATACCCCGAAATGAGCAAGGGGTTACTAATGTACTTCTGCACAATGACTGCACAGTCATACTCTAAGTCCTTAACGTCTTGGAAAATGAGTATACCCCTTCCACGGGAGAGATCCACAGGCTTGCAAATCCAGTAGCTAGGTCTTCTGCCTAATGACTGTCTCTCCTTGCTGTATTCTGCTATAAATTTGACATAGTCGTTGGGCATGATGAATGCCACTGGACTAAATTCATACAGAGCTGATCCGTAAGATCCTTTCATACGTTTCAGATGCCTTGCCAAGTAGTCTTTTCTGGTGATCCGGACAGCTTCTGGGTAGTGGTTGAGCCTCTGCCATGGTTTAATGCTGTGGTGGTCTGTCATGCGGAAAGGCGAGTTCCGCCAGTACAAGTTCCAGTCTGTGTCATCTTGCTCCTTCTTGTCAAATTCCGTCCAGCCGCGTTCCAGTAAAACCTCACGGACTATTGCGGGGACGTTCTCGTGGAGGCGGAACACCAACGGTCTCAAGGTATCTCTTGTGTCACAGTCATCTGCCATCACTTCACCAGCTGGAAGAAAACAGAATCATCAGGAAGGAAACGATGAAATTAATGCCACAGAGTGTGCTAGCAGTCATCACCCTCACTGTGGTGCCTTCACTCAATCACTTCAATGCCTGTCACTCTCAATGTGTGCTCAAAGCATGTTGCCCCTCTGTGTGTCTGTGGTGCACAACTAAGCCGTCAAAGACTGTG